GGGGAATAACAGTTACAGGGTTATTGTAAGCTTGAGCAGGCCCTGGCCATCCATTGTGGCTCAGTTGGTTAGAATGTTGTCTTCTGCACCAAGAGGTTGGGGGTTGGATTCCTGGTCAGGGCGCATAGCTAGGTTGCAGGTTCAATCTCCAATCAGGGTGCAACTGATCAATGTGTCTCTCTTTTATATTTTTTATTGATTTTTTTTACAGAGAGGAAGGGAGAGAGATAGAGAGCTAGAAACATCGATGAGAGAGAAACATCGACCAGCTACCTCTGCACACCCCTAACCAGAGAGCCTGCAACCAATGTACATGCCCCTGACCGGTATCGAACCCGGAACCCTTCAGTCCGCAGGCCGACGCTCTACCACTGAGCCAAACCGGTTTCGGCATGTCTCTCTTTTATTTTTTTTATTTTTTAAATATTTTAGTGTTTATCATATGATTTTTTAAATTTAATATATTTTATTGATTTTTTACAGAGAGGAAGAGAGAGGGATAGAGAGCTAGAAATGTCGATGAGAGAGAAACATCGACCAGCTGCCTCTTGCACACCCCCTACCGGGGATGTGCCGGCAACCAATGTACATGCCCTTGACCGGAATCGAACCTGGGACCTTTTCAGTCCGCAGACCAACACTCTACCGCTGAGTCAAACTGGCTTCGGTGGCATGTCTCTCTTTAAAAACATTTTATTTATTTTTGTAGAAACAAGTGCTCTATTTTTGCATTCATGGTTTATTTATTTATTTATTTAATGCTCATCCAAGGGTGTTTTCTCATCGATTTTTAGAAAGATGAAGGGAGGGAGAGAGACAGAGAAACATTGATTGGTTGCCTCCTGCACAGGGATTGCCTGCATCTGGGGTACATGCCTTTGACTGGAATTAAACTGGGACCCTTCAGTCCCTGATGTGACACCCTATCCTCTGAGCCACACCGGCTAGGGCCAATGTATGTAATATATCACTCTCACATCAGTGTTTTGTTCTCTGTCTCTGTCTCTTTTCCCTCGCTCCCCCTACCTCTCCCACCTGCACACAGGCCAGCCTCCGCCCCATAGCCTCTCTGTGTCCCTAGCAGTTGGCCTGGAGGAGGCACTCAGGGAAGTTTAGTGAACAAATGAATGAATTAGTGGATGTCCTTACTCACCTCTGTGAGCTTCTCTACCACCATACTCCTGCTCACCCCTCAGAGGGCACCAGACCAGAACCCAGGAATCCGGGACACCCAGCGGCCAGTGCCCCTACAGTGCCAGTCCTTTAGCTGCCTGGGACACGATGCTGTTGGGGCATCTGGAGAGCCTTCCCTGGGGATGCCAGTTATGGGGGAAGGTGGGAGGGAGAGGTGGGAATCTAGCTCATCCACAAGCCAACAGCGACTCACCCCCATCCCTCAGTCATCACCCGGTGCCAGCCCTGCCCCCTGCCCAGCCACACCTCTTGGAGCCTTACCTGCTACCCGCTGAGAATGGAAAGGCTTGGACCCTAGAAGGCCAGAGAGGGCAGCAAAGCAGTGTCTGCCTCCTCAGCTCACTGCTCCTCCCACCAGCCTGTGGGGGAGCTGCTGGAAGGTGGTCCTGTCCCACTCCCCAGAGAGGTGAAGGGCTGGTCCAAGGCCACGCTGACCAATGGGAAGCCAGCATTCTGACTCCCGGCCTGGCCCTCTGCCTCTGCAAGGCGCCTTATACCTCTGCCCAGGGGGACCTCAGGACCCCGGCCAGTGGTTGCCACTGCCCCTCCTGCATCCAGTCACATGTCTACCCTGAAGCTCTGCCTCTTCCCAGTGCTCTCCTCCCCTCGCCGTCCTCTGATCTCCTGATCTCCGAGGGGTACTGGGTGTCTCCCGTCACAGGACTGTGGATTCCCAAAGGCAGGGGTAGGCTCTCCTCTTCCTTGTCTTTTATCGGACCTAGAACCCAGCGGGGGCTCAGGAAGTGCCTGCACACACACCAAGGATCTGGAACTCAGGTGTGTGTGTGTGTGTGTGTGTGTGTGTGTGTGTGTGTGTGTGGAGATGTCTCCTTTGTCCTGTCCCCAGCAGGAATGAACAGGAAGAGCCACAGGGGAGCAGGGACCTTCCGGAGGTCCCCAGCTGGAAACCAGAGGGCAGCCACCTGTGCCCTGCCACCCACAGGAACCCTGAGGTGCCGTTCCTACTCTGCCCGCCTTCCTTCCTTCCTTCCTTCCTTCCTTCCTTCCTTCCTTCCTTCCTTCCTTCCTTCCTTCCTTCCTTCCTTGAGTTCCAGTGGCCCACTCCCGTTTGGGATTTGGGAGGATAAAGGCATAGTCTTTATTCCAGCTCCTGCCCCAACCCAACTGGCAGCTCCTAGCCTGTGGCCTTCGCCCAGACATGGCAGAGGGGCACAGGCCGCTTGGAGGAAGCAGTTGATTTTCCCTTTGGGAGTAGAGAGAGGGGGAGGGGAGAGGCTTGCCCCCCACTCCTCCATTCTCCCCCCACCACCACAGAGGGGAGAGGGCAGGGATACAAGTCCAGACAAGAGGCAGAGGCAGACGGACCTCCTCAGCTCGTGGGGTCACAGCTGAAGTCCTCATTGGAGAGCTGAAGCCCTTGGTTGCTGTGAACCAATGCTTTCTAGACTCTTGAGATGAATATGTGGGGGGAGGGGCGGGGGGGGGGAGGCAACACGGTAAATTCCCCCTCAACTCCGGAGTCTGTTCTTCTTCCTCCTCGGGCTCCTGCTCCTCCCCTCCTTCCCACTCCCACCCATTTATTTGCCTTTGTGTCTCCTCTTTCCTGTTCTGTCCCTTCCCTTCTCCCCCTCCTCTTCCCTCAGCCCCACCCTCCCCTTCACTCCCCTCTCCCCCTTTCTCTCCTGGCCCCTCCTCCTCTCCCTCGGTGGGGCTGCTTTCTCCCTGACTCAGCAAGGTGCTTTATAAGGTGCTGAGGGGGCTCAGCCAAATCCAAACCACATTGTCTGTGCAGACGCTCTGCTCTCCGCACGGAGCCGGCTGCAAATGGGAGGAGGACTTGAGCGGTTCCCCTCTCCCTCTCCTCTCCCCTCCACGGCTCCCTCCCTCTGACCGGTGGCTGCTAGGGGACCTCCTGGCTGGCCTCAGTGCCAGTCACCCACTGGGCATCTGCCTTCTTGACCTTGGCATAGGCATCAAAGACCGTTGGGCTCACAGGCCAAGAATGTCATTGAAACTTCAGTGTTCAGGCTGGGGGGGGGGGGGCGGGGAAGAGGGAGGCTCTGAGCACTTTTCAGAAGGGCCCCTCTGAGGCAGATGCCCTAGGCCCACCAGAGCTGCTGCCGCTCCCCCAGAAAGTCCCTGCCCCCAGCTCCAGGCCAGCTGCCCTTTCCCGGTTCTTTTTCTTGTTTAGGAAAAAAAGGAAAAGAAAGAAAGAAGAGGGGGGAAAAAACGCAACAACAAAGTCTGTCCCACTCCAGTGAGGTAATTGAAAACAAACTTCTCCCCCACCCCCCCATCCCCCCCACCCCAGTTCTCCACGTGCAGGCAAGGAAGAGCAGAGCGGCCCGGAGCCCAGTGCCGGCCACGACACACCCTGCTCTCACCTCCAGCGGGAGGGGCTGCGGCAGGGCTGGCGGGGCAGCCACTGTCCTGGGGGCACCAGGAGAGCAGTGGGGGGCGTGGGCTCTGATGCTGTTCCAGGTCGGCCCACCACCGCCTCTCCCCCTTTGGAACAACAAACAAACAAACAAACAACCACAAAAGCAACGCATCACTAAATGGTTTTCTTGCTGGTCTGGTCCTAGAGCTCTCACAGGCCTGGGGATCAGATAACTGTCCCCCAAGAACAGTCCCGAAGTGGAGGTTCCCGCAGGACCCAGGTGGGGGAGAGCTGCCTTCTCTGCACGCCGCCTAGCAGACCCGTGCGGAGCGGGAAGACCCTCCAGGGAGGGTCTAGGCTTATGGGTCCCCTGGGTATCCCAGCCAGCCAGTCCCAACCCGGGCCTGAGGGAAGGAAGGAGAGAGAGCACGCACAGCCAAGTCGCCCCTACCCCACCACCGGAAAAGCCAGCGCCCCAAACCCGGGAGGCCGGGGAGCCAAGGTCTCTGTGGGGAAGCAGTTCACAAACGGGTCGTCCATGGCCTTGGTTGAGACCGTTCCCGCTGAGTCACCCCCAAAGCCCTGGGGTTGGAACTGGTCCGGTGCCTCGTGTGGATGAATGAACGACAACCCCCCACCCTGTGCCCTCTCCTGGCCGCTGGGGAGAATGGAGAACCTTGTGAACTGGCGGCGAGAGTCCTGGCCAACGGGCCCGCGGTGCCCGCGCCCACCCCCGCAGGGGGCATTGTGAACCGGTTAGTCACCTGCCCCGGCGGGCGCCTCGCTTGGCCCCGGCTTTTGGAAGTGGGACAGGCGACGGGACAATAGGCGAGGGGGGCGGCCAGCCCAGACAAAGGGCAGCAGGAAAAACACCATCACTCGCTCGCAGGCCAGCTCGCTGGCATTTGGGAGAATGTGTCATTGCAGCTACTGTGTGCGGTGGGTGGGGGTGGGCTTACGGATGAGAGGGCGGAGGTAGGGTGAGCGTGGGACCCGGGGACCCACGCGGACGGGGAGCGGCGCCCCGGGCGGACGCGGAGGGCGCGGGAAGGCGGGCGGCTCCCTGCCGGAGCTCCCGAGTTTGCACGCCGACCGATGCCCTCCGCCCCCTCCCCCGGGAGGCCCAGGGTGGTACCCCGCAGCCTCGCCTCACCTCACCCCCCCTCGGTGCCGCGGGAGGGAGAGGAGCCCCAGAAGCCCTCCCTTCCCTCCTCCCCCTCCTCCCCCACCCCAGGGAGGGCCGCTACAATTTGTGGTTACAGCTTTACACGTCAGAAAAAAAAAGTTTGCAGAATGTCCCACACTGAAAAAAAAAAAAAAAAAAAAAAAGCCGAAACCGAGCGAAAAAAACCTGCGAGTGGGCCTGGCGGATGGGATTGTTAAAGCTTCGCCGGAGCCGCGGCTCGCCCTCCCACTCCGCCAGCCTCCGGGAGAGGAGCTCGCCCGCCGGCCCGGCCCCGGCCCCATGGACCTCCGAGCAGGTAGGAGCCAGGCGTCCGAGGCCCCGGCCCCCGCCTCCGCCCGGGAGCCCGAGCTCCGGTCCCACCCTCCCCCGGGCCGCCGCGGAGCCCGGACCTGCCCGCCGGCGGGGCGCGGGCCGGGGGAGGCAGAGCCGGGCGCCCTCGGGAGCGGCCCGGGGCGCGGCGTTCCCGAGTCCGCTCCGGGGCCGGGGCGGCGGGAGCGCGGCGGGAGCCCCGGCGCCCCGCAGCCCCGGAGGCGGCCGCCGGAGCCCCGCGGGCGGGGAGCCGCCAATCCCGACGGACGGGCCCCGCGCAGTGGGGAGAGCGGGTCCGCGGCGGCAGCGGGCTGGGGAGGGACGGCGCGGGCGGCGGGCCGGGAGGAGGGGGGCCGAGGGAGCCCGGGGCCGGGCCGGCGGGAGGCGAGGGAGGCCGACACCTCGGGCCGTGCGGCTCTCCCGCCCCGGCGGCGGGAGGAGAGGGCGGGAAGGAGGCGGAGAGCGGAGGGAGGCGGAGAGCCGCCGCCGGGCCGGGCCGCGGGCGGACGCGGCTTCCTCCGCGCGCCGCGGGCCGGAGCCACTCGCTGCCCGGGCCGCGCCGGCGGCAGGTAGGGCCTCGGCCGCCCGGCGGCCTGGCAGTGATTAGCGGGGGGCGGGGGCGGTGCCGCCGGCCGGCCGGGCAGGAAAAAGCCCGTCACCCTCCCGGGCGGCGGGGCCGCGGAGGGCGGATCGGGGAGCGGACGCGCGGGAAGGGCAGCGGCCGCAGCGCGGAGCCCGGACCGGCCCCCGCCCGCCGACGGGAGGGAGCACCGGGCGGGAGCGGGCGGGCGGGCGGGGCCGGGGGCGCCGGGCCACACAGGGGGAAGGCGTCCCGCCGCAGCGCCGCGGGGAGAGGCCCGGAGCGAGGGTCACGCCGAGGGGGAGGGCCGGGAGGGGCCCGGGCCGAGGCCCCAAGGGGAACCCCGTGTCCCTCGAGCCTCGCAGAGTCCCCTGATCTCTGCCCTCCCACCTTCCCGGTCGGCAGTCCAGAAGTCCTCCCCAGAGACCTCCAGTCCCAGAGGACCGTCCCAGCTTTCTCCCGCGCCGGCCTGACCCTCCCGTGGGGGCCCGAGGGGGCTGCCCAGAGCCGGAGGCTGTAGGCGGGAGCCCTGGGCACACTCCTCTGCCAGGCTCTCTCCCGGTCAGACACCTTTCAGGGTCCCAAGCACACAATGAGCCGGTGGGACAGACACAGAGGCACATCCCCCTGACCAAGCAGACCTGCTTCCACCCTGGCTCAGGCACCCTCACTGCGCCCGAGCCAGGAGCTCACCCAGATGGGGAAAGGGCACCGGGCAGTGAGGGCAGCAACTGTCACCCAGCTGCCCCCTAAGCCTCCCCCCCCCCCCCCCCCCGCCCGCTCTCCTGCCCAGCCACTCTGCACGCACCCTGCCAACCAGCCAGGCTGCTAGTGACACTTCACATTCCTCCCCACAATCCCACCTGCTTGTTCACGCTGGGCTCCTGCCGGCCCCTCAGCCCCTCCCAGGCCTTTGGATAACAACACCCTTTGAAACTCACCCACACACTCACCCCCACTATTTCCTAACTTCTTCCCTGCCCCGCTAAAGCCTGTGGCCCAGCTTTCCTAGTCTCAGCTCGCTCTCTTTCTTAGCTCTCTCTCTCTCTCTCTCTCTCTCTCTCTCTCTCTCTCTCTCAGCCCCCCCCCTCTCTCTCCCCCCCGCCCCCTCCAACCTGCCCCCAGCACACCCAGGGTCCTTTGACCACACAATCCAGAACCCTCTCACTCCAAGGAAAGCCCAACTGCTGGGTCCACATGGACTTCACAGGGCAAGGCGGCCCGCCTGCCTGCTGCTGCTCCCCAGGCCTCAGGTTCTGGTCATATGGGTGGAGGAGGAGGGCAGGGAGTGGCTGCAGAGGACAGCAGAGACAGAGCCCACGAGGTTCTGGAGAGGAACTTTAACATTCATGGTGTTTTAGCCCTCACCGAAGCCCCGTTACCTGATGGGCTGCTGGCAAAGCGAGGTCTCCTGACTTCTGGGGGCCCACGTGTGCTCACTCCCTAAGCCACCTCTCAGCAGCCTGGGGACAGGGACCAAGGAGAGGAGGGAGGGAGGGCAGCCGGGCAGCCCAGAGGACAGGAAGGTCCGGCTGTGTCTGTGGGCCTTTCCTTGGGAGGGCAGGTTGGGAACTTCCCCACGGACGCTTTCTTACAGTCTCAGTGCCTGGATCTCATGCCACAGTGGACACATCAGCCCCTAAACTGCTTCATCGCCCAAGTTCCCCTCAGCAGACCCCTCCGCAGTCACCAGGATGCTTTCCTGACCTGGCCTGCATGCAGTGCTTTCCCTCTGGCTCCCACATTTAGCCCAGCACTCTGGAGCTTGGCGATGCCTGCCTGGCTCATAGGCATTCAGCTGATCGCTCTCAGCCACCAGTTCCCGGAGCAGAGTCTGCCAGCTGACTTGTCCTACTGACTCTGAGCATCTGACTCTGCACTGCCGAGCCCCCCCCCCCCTCAGTGAGTGGAGTGAGGTCAGCCTGGGGGGTACAGGCTACAGGCTGAGGGGCGGCTGGCCAAAGGCATGCGCACACAGGTGTGCCTGTGTGTGCAGCGAGGCAGGGAGGCCATGCGCTTGCAGTCCGAGGTGTGCATGTGCGTGTTCCTGAGGGGGGCCTCGGTTCCCAGAGCCCAGGGATCTGGATGGAATTAGGGGCCGGCCCAGGCGGGGGCCAGGATGGGGGGGTCAGGGGGCTGCAGCAGGAAACGTGAGCTGCACTCATTAGCTCCTCACGTGCTCAGCCGGATTTATAAACACAGGGGAAGACGGGATGTAAACAATCAGTGGGCAGCAGCCAGAGCCAGAGCCGGGGCGGGAGCTGGTCGGGCGCCAGGACTGGGGAGATGGGGCCCAGGACACAGCACTTAGTGGCCAGGTCCACCTGCACACCATGAACTCGGAGAGGATCGGTGAGGGCTCCAGGATGCCCACTGCACTCTCCCTCCTCGGGACACAGGCAAGCTGCAAACTACTTACAACCCCATCACAGGTTGTCTCTGCCCCAGATGCTTTTGCTGCCGGTCCAGGAACATTGTGCCCGGACTGGAAGCTGTCGTGACCGAGGGCAGAGCCCTGTCCTGTCCCCTTTCTCCGCTCCTAGCCTCTTTTCCCTCTGGGTTTCTGAGTCTCCTTCCCTCTTTCTGGTTCTCTCTATGGGTCAGTCAGTTGGAGCCTTCTGCTCTCTCCCTGCACCTCCCACCCACCCACACTGCAGTGACAGTTACCTCAGAACTGAAATATTCCTGGAAACACCGGCCTTGTCTGGTTAATTTCATGAGCCGTTTTTCTGCCCAGATGACTTAGCTCTTGTTTATCCAAAGGCTTCTCCCCCATTCTCCCCACTGTCCCTGTGCAGGGAGGCAGTGCTCCCCAGGGATGTCCCACAGGGCCCAGAAGAGGAGGGGGAAATAAGTCCCAAAGCTGGGTTCCTGACTACCCCCCCACACACACACACACATACAATGGGATAAGCAGAGCCCTGCCCCACAACTCTTGTCTAGCGGGGCTGCCCAAAGCAGGGTGGGCTAGAGAGGCAAGCCCAGCTCCCAACTCCTGCTCAGCCAGCACCCTCGGCATTGCCACTAACTGCCAGCCAGGCCAGACTCAATCCTGGAAGCTACCTCAAGGGTGGAAAGGCCACTGCCCACCTCAGCAGGTCTCTACCTCCAAACCCAACCCCACCTGTGCCAGCAGGACCTTGGGAGTGACTCAGTCAGACACCCAGGCAAGAGCAGCCCAAGGCTTCACGCAGAGAGGAGGCCTGGAGTTGTCTGGGGATGTGGAGGACGGGGACTAGAAAGGAATTCAGAGTCAGCAAGAGCTCAGGTGGAAAGAAAGAATAAGGAAAGGAACGCTGAGGAGGGAATGCACAGGCGGAAAGAGAGCCTGTCTCCTCAGGGAGCAGTTATGTGCCTGACCCTCCCCTCTGTTCTAAAACACATGCCTGTGGATTCGCGTGTGTGCGTGTGTGTGCATGTGCGTTCGTGTGGGTGTGTGGGTGTGTGTGTGTGCGCGCGCCCACACGCACACTCAGACTAAAAGCCCTTCACCAAAAGGGCAGGTCCCTGAGACTAGCAGTACCCCGACTCCCATGCGCCATCAATAAAGACAGTCCATCACACATCTGAAAGTCAAGATTGACCAGTTGGCTTGGTGCAGTGATTGTCGACCTTTGAACCAGGAAGTCATGATTCAATTCCCAGTTTGGGCAGAGGCCTGGGTTGCAGGCTCGATCCCCACAGTGGGGCATGCAGGAGGCAGCTGATTGATGATTCTCATTTCTCTCTCTCAACCCTTCCTCTCTGAAATCAACATATATAAAGACTGACCAGTTGGGGACACTGCAGGAGTCCCCATCTGATCCTTACGCTCTGTAAGAGACATTCTATACAATTTGATTCCTAAACCCTTTCAAGTTTTACCCTCTCTAAAACCCTGACCAGGATTATGACTAACTGTAAACTTAACCTAGTCTTAACTCAAACCTATCCTAACTCTAAGTGCAGTCAAATTGTTAAACCCATATCCAAATTATTTTTTTTAATCAAAACAACATATGTCATTGCAGAAAATGTGAAAGAATAAAATGTAAATTAGAAGGAAAAAACCACTCATGGTCTCACATCTATCCAAGCTCAAAATCCACTAGCAATATTCTTAGTGACATGTCATGCATCACCCTATCTGAAAATATGAATCAACACATTCACAAACCTTAGTCCCAGCCAACCCTCTGCCTGCCCAAACCTAACCACATCCCCCAGCTGGCTCAAACCTCAACCACACTCACTCAGCCAAATCCCAATAAATTAACCTGAAGCTTTAAAAGTAACCCTCCTTAAAGCTAACCTAGCCCAATGCCAATGATAGCCTTATCCTATCCTGACCTTAATTGCTTTGCTCAGTCCCAATGCCCACTGAACCAAGTGTTCTTGATTTTGAGTTTCCCCTAGAAGCTGGGAAAATCATGTTTCCCAACCACCTATGTCTGTTCTCACAGCACTGACCCCTGGCCTCTGGCATCCTCGGATGTCCAGACTCTCCAGCACCATCAGCTGACAGACCCAATTCATTGAACACATCACTCTCCCCCCCTCCCCGCCCCTCCACTGCCGCTTAACCTTTTCTTCATCTAAAACCCTAGATAAGAAAGGAGCATACTTCCCTGAGAGGGACGTTAACCCTCCTTTAACCCCATCCTACATTTCCACCCCAAGGAGCGTATCCTAGACTGTCCCCACCACTGACCGCACGAGCCAGACCCGCGTCCTTCAGCCTGACCTTGGCCCCTATAGCTTGACTGGGACCTGTTGGTTCCGGGAGGGCAGGAGGACAGAGGAGGGAGGGGACAGAGGAGAGAGGAGGCAGCCTCTCAGCTGGCAGCTGTGATGTGTGCTGTTTCCCACCACAACCCCTTGGCTTCCCACAAGCTGCAGCGGGGCCAGAGGCTGGGAGAGGAGGCTGCGGTACACCTGGAACTCGGAACACGATCCCTGTCCCTAGGCCTGGCCCTCCTGGTACACATATCTACATGGTGGCACATGCAGTGACTGTTAGCTGACCCACACATATACTCCCCAATATCTACTGGTATAATGTATAACATACATGCCTACACACACACACACACATACACACACACACACACACACACACACACACACACACACACGCGCGCGCGCGCGCGCAAATGCTTTCTGGGGCCAGGAATGCTCCCGCGCCGCCCCCCCCCCCTTGCTCCCATCTGGCGCCCCGCCCCCCCTCCCAGCCCAAGGTGGGGACAGACACCTGAGGGGCTGCCAGCTGCTTCCTCTCCCAGGCCAGGCCCCCCTCATGCTTCTTGCCCGTCCTGTCCACAGGGGACTCGTGGGGGATGCTAGCCTGCCTGTGCACCGTGCTCTGGCACCTCCCTGCAGTGCCAGCCCTCAACCGCACAGGGGACCCAGGGCCTGGGCCCTCCATCCAGAAAACCTATGACCTCACCCGCTACCTGGAGCACCAACTCCGCAGCTTGGCTGGGACCTATGTGAGTATTAGGGGCGGCTGTAGGGGTCCGGGAACTGGGCAGAGAATGAGAAGAGGAGCTGGAAGAGATGGTGGAGGGGTCCTGAGGAACGTGGGGTGATGAAGGGGGGACCTTTAGCTCCAAGCAGTCTCCATGTCTGGCCCATCCCTCGCCCTTCCCTCTAGGGTGCCCCTTCCTCCCCATCCCTGGCCCCAGGACTAGGCATGTGGGCAGGCCTCGCACCCGCCTTGGCCCATTGCCCCACTGGCTGACTGCCCAGCCGCCCGCCTCCCCCTGGGGGCCAGGGAAGTCTCCTCTGTTTACACCGTGTTGTGGTGTCTCTTGCAAGGGTGGGGCTGGGTGGGGACGGAGGGGCCCCACCTCCCCTGCCTATGTTCCAGCTCGCCTCTGCCCCAGACCTGGGGCCCTGCTGCTCTGGACCCATGGGCCTTCCTTCTGTCTGCCTCTCCCATCCTCGTGGGCCTCCGAGGGGGGGACTTGAGGGAAGGGGGCTGCGGGGAACCCAGGCCAGCGGTGGCAGGGGGCTCGGGGTGTGGATTGAAGTTCTGCCATACGAATTTGGGGGCAGTCCAGAGGTGTTTGGAGAGCCCAGGAGAGCAGGAAGGAGGGTCAGAGTGAGCGAGGACCACAGGGATCCGGCCCCCTCTTCCCGTGTTCCTCCTCTACATCCCAGACCCTACTCTGGAGCCAGGGAAAGAGAGGGGGGAGGTGGCGGGGAGCTGGCTCCAGCCCCAGGATACACCGAGGAAATTGGTTTGTCTCTGTGCTTGTCAGCGTGTGAACCTCCCCCTGGGCCCTGGCCTCTCCCAGGCCTCGCCCCTCTCTTCTCCTTTCTCTCCCCGCTGAACTGTCTCCCTCAGCCCTTTCCCTGGGCCCCAGGCTTCTCCCCCGGGGGTTGGCAAGGCTGTCCTTTTCCCTGCACTGACTGCCATACCCTTCCTCCAGCCCAGCCCTTGAGACTGCCTCAGTTTCTTCCTTCTGCAGTCCTGCTTCTGGGCAGAGCCCTTCCTTGGAGGGTAGTGTGTACCTCTGTCCTCAGCCCGTCAGCTGGTGGCACTGGGCAAATGGAGCTGATGCCCGCAGGCCCCGCTACCTTCCGACCTGCTTTTGCTGTCCAGAAAACCTTTGCTTGACTCTGCTACCTCCTCTAGTTCCCGACCCTTTTTCTCTCCTGGCTTTCCCTGCCAAATTTTTCGAAGGAGTGGTCTACACCCTCTGCCTCCACTTCCTCTCCACCCACTCACGCGTTAACCCCCTGCAATCTGGCTTCCAGGCCACTGGAACGGTTCTCTCCGAGGCTGTCAGGCGCCTCCTTGCCAAACCCAACAGGATTTCCTAAGGCTCATTCCCCTCGCTCTCTGTTTTACAGCCGCACTGCTGCCTCCTCGAACTGCTCTTGGCTCTGCACTCTCGGTCCACCTTCTACCTCTGCAGCCTGGCCTCCTGGGTCCCCATGGCTCCTCTTCCTCTTCTGCCCGCCCCCCACGGGCCCTCTGCAAAGGCTTGTGCACACAGCCTATCCGTGAGTCCTCCCTGAGTATCTGCTGCTCGGTTTTCTCACTCTACACCTCTCCATAGGAGAGCTCGGTACCCTCACTGCTTCACCTGTCTTCTCCATGCAAACGACATCGGCGGAGAAGCGTAGGGTTGGCCTGTGAACAGAGAGATCTGGCGTGGAGATGGGGCCCACGTCAGGGGGCGCAGGACATGGAAGCTTTGGGGACAGGTATCCCCCGGTGGCGGCAAGCTGGCTGCTTTGCCCTCCTCCTTCCCCATCGCCCTCTCCTTTCCACAGCTGAACTACCTGGGCCCCCCTTTCAACGAGCCTGACTTCAACCCTCCTCGGCTGGGGGCAGAGACTCTTCCCAGGGCCACGGTCAACTTGGAAGTTTGGCGAAGCCTCAATGACAAACTGCGGCTGACCCAGAACTACGAGGCCTACAGCCACCTCCTGTGCCACTTGCGTGGCCTCGACCGCCAGGCCGCTGCAGCTGAGCTGCGCCGAAGCCTGGCCCACTTCTGCACCAGCCTCCAGGGCCTGCTGGGCAGCATCGCCGGTGTCATGGCAGCCCTGGGCTACCCGCTGCCCCAGACTCTGCCCGGGACTGAGCCCGCCTGGGCCCCTGGCCCTGCCCACAGTGACTTCCTCCAGAAGATGGATGACTTCTGGCTGTTGAAGGAGCTGCAGACCTGGCTGTGGCGCTCAGCCAAGGACTTCAACCGGCTCAAGAAGAAGATGCAGCCTCCGGCAGCTGCGGTCACCCTGCACCTGGGGACTCACGGCTTCTGATCTTTGACCTTTACCGCCTCCTCTTTCCCCTCCCCTTCCCCACCCTGCTCCCACTCTGGGAGGGAGGAACCTGTGTGCCAACACTTGTTGAGCCGGGAGACAGAAGCTGTGAGCCTCTGGCCCTTCCCAGACTTGGAAGAGGGCATGATGCAATAAGACTCATCCCCTCCCTGTCCCCAAAGTCCCGCAGGTCTGGGAAGAGGTGCAATAGGCCCCATCCCGTTTCCACAGGAAGCCATGCTCCAGGGAGCCCGAGGTGGTTGGGGTTGGTGTAAAGGCTCTCACAGCCTCCTGCTTCCTGCCAACCACTGCCAGTGCCCAGCCAGCCCCTTAAGTGGCACTTGCAGGAAGCATGCCTGGAGGGCAGGGAGGGGGGCACCGCAGCGTGTGCCTTTCTGGGGTGAAGCCCTTTGCTGCCTCACTCTCCTTAGATGGGTGTTGCTACCCTCCCCCAATTAACTCCATACATTTAATTCAGGAAACAAGCACGGTGGCAAGTCCGGACAGGAAGAGATGGTATTAAAAATGGAAGAGGTGAGGTCTGCATTGGAGGAAATACTGAAAGCAGAGGGACAGGCACAGACTGGACCCTGGGTCACCAAGGCACTGGCGGCACAGGGTGGCAACCAAAGGACCTTGTCTTGAATTTTCTTGCCGGCACCATGGTGCCTCCTCTCTGCCCCCTTTTCCAGGGTATGTGTGGGCTGCCCAGCCTGGGGAGGGCAACCATAGCCACAGCCACAGGATTTCCTGAAAGTTTACATTGCAGTAGCATTTCGGGGTGTATGGGGCAGCTCCCCCCAGGCCCTGCACTCCAGCCCCAACCACTCATGACTCTGTTTGTTGTATTAATATTTATTTATTTGGAGATGTTATTTATTAGATGATATTTATTGCAAATTTTCTATTCTTGTGTTAACAAATAAAATGCTTGCCCCAGAAGCATCTCTGCTTGGCACTGCCCCTCCCGGCTCTCATTCCTGGCTCTCCTGGCCTCCCCCTCCCTGGCTCCCATGGCTGCTAGGAGAGCCCGGGAGCACAGAGGTTAATTCGGGAGATGCAAAGAGAGTGGGAAGAGATCTCCCACGCTGTCGGGGAAGATATGTACACAGCAGACTTCACTCCAGCTCTCTCCATCAACGCCATCCTCCTTTAATCCCCCCAAAAGCCTTCTTATCTGCACTGACTTCCTTCTCCCCGCCTTTGCTCAGCCCACCTCACCTCTATGGGTTAATTTAATGGTCTCAGAGGTACATGTCTCTGAAAAACAGGTTAGCTGTTCCTCTGGTGCTCTTTCCGGGTAGTTAGCCCAAGCATTCGGTCCTCAGTTTCCCCAGAACCTCTCCTGTGGCTGCCATTGGGCGGCTCCTCTCCAGCAGTGACCCTCACTTTCTCATTGCCCTTCATCTACGAGGGAGGGCGCTAGACCACAGCCAAGTCATGATTCTCAGCTGTGACTACCCCTTTCCAATGCCTAACAAATGAGTGGGAAAGAGAAAGTCATATCGGACTGCAAGTTAATAGGAGAGATGCTGTTTAAGGAGAGGCTTAAGCTCAAGTTCCAGTTTCATAGCCTATGAGCTAAATGACCTTGGACAAGTCATGTAAACCTCTCTAGTCTCCAGTTCCCCATCTGTAAAATGGGAATATTAAATATAGCGGCAGCGATTAGTAAAACAGATTGCTGTGGCAAATGGCGTGTCCTAACAATCTAGTGAAGAGCCGCTGGATAAGGTAACGGACTAACAGCTCCCAGGTAAACACATGGCTATTTTACAAGGGTCTCCTGGAGGCAGTACCCTCAGCAAAGAAAGTAACAAGTGACGGTGATGTCAATCAATTGACAAATATATATATTTTTAAATATATTTTTTTTTCAGAGACGAAAGGAGAGGGGGAGAGGGACAGAAACACCAATGCTGAGAGAGAATTGGCTCGTCATTAATCGGCTGCCTCCTGCTCGTCCCCCGCTGGGGGTTGAGCCTGCAACCCGGGCCTGTGCCCTGGCCAGGAATCAAACCGTGACCTCCTGGTTCATAAGTAGACGCTCAACCACTGAGCCACACTGGCCAGGCAGTTGACAAATATTGTAAAGACATACCTTGTCATCACTGTGCTACTTGGTGTAAGAAACAAGAAATACCAAACCGTGAGATTAAAGAAGGAGAGGATAAGAAAGTAAAGGGGTCAGTATATTCCTTCAGAAGTCTGGCTCTTATGATAGAGGCTGTGATCAATCTATTTGGGAAGAGAAGACCAGCTTACCGGAAACGATAAGGAACAAAAGCATACATGTGTCTATGCACTGGGCGGTCCCCACAAACGCATGAACCACTGGAAAGGGAGAGGCCAGAGCTTTTGGACTTGTGTGTGGGTGCAGCAAGCCAGGCTCTGCTGAATGTCCCTGAGTCACTGGCCCAACTTGGAGGGAACATGCCCACCCTGCAGGGTCCGGGCTCTTCAGGGAGAGAAATCTGCCCGGGCATGGCCCTGCCTCCTGCCTAACACGACAGAAAGGAGGGGGCATCTGGGCTGTCCCCATGCAGGGGAAAATGGGTAGCAGCTGCTACATGTAAGGAACCAAGCAAAGGGCTGTAGGGAATACAGGGGGGAGAGAGGGATGTCCCACACTGCTGTACCGTGAGCTTTTGGGGGAAAGATTCCGAGTCTTCCCCATCTGTCTATCCCAGCACCCAGCTCAAGCTCCGGCCTAAAGATGGCGGTCAATTAGTGTGTTGAACAAAACTACTTGTGACTTCCTTCCCTCCTCACAAATGCTAGAACCCAAGGTAGAATTTGGTTTCTACTTTCTAAGTTTAGAAAGACCCAAGGACAAGACTATGGACATCAAGGAAGAAGCAATCGCTACCAGTTGGGCGAGGACTCTGCTAGTCTGTAGCCCTAGAAGGGAGGCAGGATTGCTGAGCTCATTGTGTGTTTCCAGAGCCTTGCACACAGTAAGCGCTTTTGCATCAGTATGGAAGGTGGGGTTTGACACTGTTCTTGAAGGATGGCCACGGCCAGGGATAGTTAAGTGTGTCCATCTCCCTTTTTTTTTTTTTTTTTTAATATATTTTATTGATTTTCTTACAGAGAGGAAGGGAGAGAGATAGAGAGCCAGAAACATCGATGAGAGAGAAACATCGACCAGCTGCCTCCTGCACACCCCCTACTGGGGATGTGCCTGCAACCAATGTACATGCCCTTGGCCGGAATCGAACCTGGGACCTTTCAGTCCGCAGACCGACGCTCTACCGCTGAGCCAAACCGGTTTTGGCTGTCCATCTCCCTTTTAAGCAGGCCGAATCTTGAGGGCAGGCTCTGTCTTCGCATTCCTACAGCATTTTAGCACAATGCCCAGCACAGACTAAAGTTCTCCATAATTCGATTTAAAGTGTGTCCAGACAATAATGTGCTAAAAGTCAAGAGAGGAGGGTTTTAAGGAAGCTGTTGATCGACAGTGTCAGATGCCCAGAAGAACTGAGAGGACATGGGCAAAATCCACTGGCATTGGTAAAATCAGGCAGTCTTTGGTGACCCTTGCAAAAGCAGTTAAGAGGCAGATACCAAACCGTGAGATTAAAGAAGGAGAGGATAAGAAAGTAAAGGGGTAAGTATATCCCTTCAGAAGTCTGGTGGCAAAAGGAATATCTAGAGATGGTAGAGGAACATGAAGGGCTTTTGGTTGGTTGGTTGGTTGGTTGGTTGGCTGTTGTTTTTTAAACAGAAAAGATCTAAGCATGCCATTGCCGCCTGAGGAGTGGAAAGGGAAGAGTGGGGAGACTTGGGGAGCGGAGTCACAGACAAGCACAGGAGAATCAAAAGGGTTGCTGGGCAGCCACAAGGAGCCAGGTAACATCAGCAAACACAGCTCTGTTGTCATCAACCCATGGATTGTGACATTCCCTAGCAAGCAAGAGGTGCCCAGAAGTAGGACAGAGTGGAGAAGGGGCATTCCCCAAAGCTGAGGCCTGGCAAGGCAGGAATGGCAGCGAATCATGGGGCAGTGATATGTGGGTTCGAGAAGGTGAGAATTGTACGGCTTAGTGGCTGTGTGCCTTGCAGAGTGCAGTGCAGGCAGGTAAGTAGCGAGGGGAATCGGGACGAGGGACTGGGAGGAGCAGGGTGGATGAGGGCCAGAGTTCACTCCCGCTAAGGATGCAGAGGGTGCCCTGGGAGCAGGGTGCGGGAGGTGGACACAGAGGATTCCCCAGTCATAGAGGACACTTCATAGTTTTGAGTTTTTGAACTTCCTTCCAAAGAGCTCCCTACTGATGTGTTGGCAGTGGCAGCCCCCCCCTGTGGGTTTTGGGGCTATAGGTCAAGGGGCCAGTAGCTCCTGGTAAATGGCATGTTATCAGGCTTTGCTGTGAGTGAGTTTGCCATTCTCCATCCACAGCTGTTTCAGGAGAGATGGTGAGTTTTTTTGGTCATCCCAGGTTTAACCTCTTAAGTGTGGTCTCATAGTCAGGGGCCCAGGTATCCAGAGGTCAGCCTGAGAACCTGGGGTAGTGGGAGCCCCGCAGGGTCATGGAGGGGGTGTTGTCTCTAGAAGGCATCTGCGCCCAGGAAGCCTAGGGAAAGTGAGAGGGCTGGGAGAGAAGGCCCTGTCTTCTTCCTGTCTTCTCCAGGTATTACAGAGCGGATCAGAAGTCTCGTTTTCATCTACCTCCCTGTGTTTAAGATGGAGAACTGTCATATGGGGGAGGGGCGTAGAAGAGCTCGGATGCAGGGTGGCTAAAAGGGTAGTCACTCCTGCCAGTAGCCCAGTTTTGCAAAGACTGACCCGACATCCGGGACTTAGGGCCCCTTCGGTAAGTTAGGAGCCTCATTCAAGCACTTATCTGACACTCACACACATACACACACACACACACACACACACACACACACACACACACGCACGCTCACACACACACACACATACACACACACACACACACACACACTCACACACTTGCCACAGTGCTCCAAATGGGGAAGGGCCAAGGGAGGCCCTTGTTCTCCTGAACCTTGAGGGCAACGGCCAGTGACCCAGCCTGGCTGAGTGCTCTGATGGCCGGCTTCCTCTCAGCCCCTCCTTCTCTGGAGCCACAATTGTCCCTGCCTTTGTCACTTCAATTCCTGAGCTCTCTGACTCAGCCTGGTTCCCCAATTTCCCAAGAGCGGACAAAGCCCTGTCAGTGGGGTGGGGGCTAGGGCAAGTAAGAAAATACTGTGAGCTTTAGGACCAAAGATCCAGCCCTTTCCTCCTCTCAGCCTTCAGGGTCCCTCAGCCCTTATTCAGGGGTGTCCTCTAGGCCCCTCTCCAACTTGCCCTGGTCTCCAAAGCCTGGCTGATGGCGTGGAAATGAACTAGGACTTTCCTCCCAGCTGGACAAAGTCTGACACCTGGTGGCCACAGAGAGGAATGGCCAGGAGGACCCCTTTTCGGATCTCCCCAGAACACTAAAGGGTGGCCAAGGTCAAAGGCAGGTGATGAAAGGAGGCTTGGAGAGGTGGTTGGGACAGGACAAAAGAGACATCTGGTGGCAGAAACACCGGACCCAGGGAGCCTCTGCCTGCTACCAGGCTCCACTAGGCCAGAGAATCTGGAAGAGCTTGTGGTGGGATGTCTGGGAGGGTCGTGAGGGACTAGGAGAGCTGCCTGAAAGAATTCTGGCCCACAGGGTGGGGAATGGGGCCCAGGGTGTAGGAGTATGTGGGGCTCTGGGTGGGTGGCAGAGCCTGAGGGCCTGAGGAAGGGGTGTGCTGGGGAGAAGGAAGGAGAGCGGGCAACGCCCCACAGCCCATTGGGCCCCAGGCAGCTGCTTTTCTCCCCCCCCACACCTGCCCCCTCCTTCCTAGCTCTCGCTGGCTTTCCCCACAAGCTCCATCATGATCTGAGGGAAGGGAAGGGGCTCTCAGGGTGCATGCGCAGTGCTGAGGCCCCCCATCCTGCCTCATTGTCTGAGCTAAGCCAGATTTAATCCCCCTTCCCTTTGGAGCAGTCAGCGGTGGGACTCAGCCCTCAGGAAGGCTCTGAGCTTCTGTTCCAGTTCTTTTCTCTCCTTTTCTTTTGAATTCCCCCAAGACTTTGGTCCTGACTATGGAGCAAGGGCCTTGAGTATTCCCGGGCTGAAATACAAAGGTCACTTCTGCTAGTCCCATCACCAACCTTTGGGGGTTAGGGCTGACACAAGAACTTAGGCCTTGGTCTCAGGAAACTCCCTAAAGGAAAATAATTTAGCCTCCAACTCAGACCTCTGGCCTGGCCTTCTAGCCTGAAGCTTGAGCTGTGACAGGCCCCATCTGGGGATGGGCCTGAATAGGGCAGGGGTTCAGGAAGAAAGGTGACAGGGAGCAGGCAAGGTTGGGGAAATGAAGAAGGGAAGGTGAAGGTCGGGTCTAGTTGCCAGCATACCTTGAGGAGTCAGATGCCAAGTAAAGGGAAGATGCAAACTGGACAGAGATGGTTCTACACCCTGGGTGTCAACTCCTTCAAACCTTGGGAGCTCGCTCCCATTGCTCTCTGACCAGGAGAGGAGGGCAACGTTGCCAGTGGAGAGTTCCTGCAAGCCAGCCCGAGGGTGCCCGCACTAGAGCTGACTGTCCTGGGTGAAGCTGAAGGCCCAGGGAGACATCTTCCAGACTGGGCGAGAGAGGCTAGCAGGCCTGGGCCAGGCAGAGCTGGGGGCAGCTGGCAGGGACGATCAGACAGTGTCCGCAGAGCAGGTCAGGGTGCCAGAGGGGAGAGGCAATAGGCTCTGCGGCAGCAGGAGCACTGTGGCCGCCCAGTGGCACACCCCATTTCACGCTCCCTGGGCGGCGGCAGGGGCTCACGGCTATCAGCTTTCAGGGGTGGGAGGAACCAGGAATGAGGAGGGTTCGGCCCCACCCATGGCTCCCTACTCCCTAGGGCTTTGTGGGCTCAGGAGCTGGGTGCCGTGCACCTCTGGCAATGCCCCCTGGGGAGGGGGTCGTCAGCCCCACAGAGCTGGACACCATCATCCCTCCACAGAATAGAGTGCTCAGTGCCGGACGGGACCCCACACCTGAACCTTTTGTAGGCCTAGTGGAGAGGGCCTCCCGCTTCCCTCCCAACACAGCAGCCCCTCAATGTGGGCCCCACTTAGCCTGTAATGCAGACGGGGATTAGAGCAGGCCCAGCCCAAACAATCCAGCAGGGAGGGCCCTGCAGCTCCATACAGCGCGCCACGGGCTCTCGCTTCTGGGCCCAGACTCAAGGAAGTAGGTAGGGAGAGCCAGGCGGGCGGGGGCCCCCGAGACATGCCTGCTCCTCTCCTCACCTTCAGTGGTCCTCCCTCTAGTGTTCTCACTCGTGCCCACCTCCCTCCTGTCAGGGCAGCAGCCTCCAGAGCAGTGGAGGAAGGGGAAGGCCTTGTACCCCTGGAGGGAAGAGGTAGATGGGATCTCTAGAGGGTGGTTAGAGCAGGGCTGGTCCCTGTGCCGGTTCCCAGACTCCCACTGGCCAGCGCTTGTGCCTGCTGCCAGGAAGCTGGTGAGGGGGAGGCGGGTGAGGGGTGAGTCAGCGATGACAGGAGCCCAGGGACAAAGGTCATGGGTGGAGAATTGAGAGGCACTGTTTATTCAGCTTGCCTCCTCCAGGAGGTCTTCCAGGGCTGAGCCAGCCCCGTGACCCACCCTTCCCCCTCTCCTGTTTGTCAGAAATGTTAGCCTTGCACGGACAACTTGTGAGTCCCGCCTGCCTGCCCCTATAGCCTGTGAGCTCCGGGGGAGCACAGAGGGGCTATGGTCTAACTGGGGCCCCACAATGTCTGCGACTTTCAGTACTTCCTACTTTCAAAAGCCATTTTACATCCGTTTTAGTTGAGGGAATCTGTGGGAAAGTGCCTAGGACAGTATATGGCACACTGCAAGTGCCATATAAGTGTTAGGTTTATTGCTGGTGTTTTCTGCGCACACGTTCACATTAGTGTGATCCAGACATGGCAGGTTGTGCTCTGAAGAACTGGGGATCCAAACACCCTCTGGCCTCCAGCTGAGTGTGGAATCTTCCTGACCAGCAGGGCCAGCAGGGACAGGCTGTGGGACCCCAAGAGGGCCGATAAGGCAGACGCTGGCTTGGACTAAGGGTAGCAGTATCGTTGGGCGCAGACTGTGAGAAAGGAGCTTTCCAAATCCATGGGCTTCTCCAGCCAGCTCTCCTGGGGCCAGTGGGGGTGGGGTGGGAGCAGGGAAGAGTGCTGGATTAGCCCAAACTCTCTTCGGACCTCCAGACCTGCCGCACCACATTCTGTGGGCCAAGGGCGGGGGAGGGGTGGAAGGCTCCAGCTGGACCCTGGGGAGTTACAAACCTGCCACGGGGATTAGTGAGGCTGAAAGCACATTTGCCTAGGAAGGGAAAACGGGAAGTGAGAGTCTGAGGATAACGCTCTGTAAGTCCCCAGAGACCCACTGCGGGCCAATGGGGGGGCGCACGGGGCGGTGGTGCAGTCTGGGGCATTTTGACAGGTCCCCCGCCCAGCCTCAGCCCTTCTCCCCTAGAACACAGCTGCCGCAGCTGCCCCGCCCCCTGCCTGCGCGTCTGCCATTGGCGGAGGCGGGCCACGCCTCTCCGAGGCGGCCTGCCATTGGCTCAGGCCTTTGATGTTTGCGTGCTTGAGGGCTAGGGGAGAGACGTCATCCCCTGGAACCTGCGGACTTCCTCTCTGCTGGTCTGGTCCTTCTGTCTGCCGGGTGCTGGTCCCAGGCTCGCTCTCTGGCCCAGCCCTCTGTCACTCTCTCTCTCTCTCAGCAGCTGTCTCTCTCGTGCCCGCTGGCCTGCTTCTCCCCTTCCCTGAAGTCGCCTGCTCCGCCTGCCTGGGTGGCCGCCATGGGCCGGAAGCGGCTCATCACTGACTCCTACCCAGCAGTGAAGAGAAGGGAGGGCCCCGCTGGACACAACAAGGGGGAGCTGGCACCAGAGCTAGGTCTTTGGGGCGTGGGGAGGGCGGAGGAGTGGACACGGAGGGACATGGGACGTGGGCGGATGTGGGCAACGCAAGGGGAAGTGAAGAATGTCCTCCACTTCCTACACCAGGCCTGGCAGCAGAAGACAGAGGCGGAGGGGGGTGAGGCTGAGAGGCAGAGGGACAGCTGTGAGGGGAGCGGCACAGGCCCAGCCCCGCGGGGGAGTCCCGGGCAGGCCTGAGGAGCAGCTTGTCGTTGCAGAGGCAGAGATCCAGCCCCTGAGCGTGGATGAAGTGGAGCTGGAGCTGCTGAGGCACTTTGACCTGGCCTGGCAGTACGGGCCCTGCACAGGTGAGGACCCCGAAGGCCCCGAAGCACATGGTGGACTCAGTCCTGTCACCCACACACCTCCGAGGCAATCCAAGCCCTGCCCGATCCTTTTGGGCGCTGTCCCCCGAGACTGGGGAGTATAGAGGTGCCTCTACACCCATGCTCTAGCCTGGACTCCGCCCTGCCCGCCACGAGGCCCACTGTCCTCCCGCCCTGCAGGGATCACAAGGCTGCAGCGCTGGCATCGGGCTGAGCAGATGGGCTTGGAGCCTCCCCCAGAAGTGTACCAAGCGCTACAAACCCACCCGGGAGATCCCCGCTTCCAGTTCAGGTCAGAGACAAGCAGGGAGTGTGGGAGACTTTCCGGGGAGCCAGTCTTCCCCGGGCACCACCAGCTGCTGGCCCTGGGCGGGGGCTGTCCAGACCTGTCCTGAGGGAGGAATAGATGCAGGCTTGGGAGTCCTTGCTGAGCAAGCAAGAAAGGTCTACAAGGTGCCTGGCTAAGGAGGGCAGAGGTTGCTTTAATAATTCTTTAAATATATATATTGATTTCATAGAGGAAGAGAGAGAGAGAATCATTGATTGGCAGCCTCCTGCACGTTCCCTACTGGGCATCGAGCCCGCAATCTGGGCATGTGGACTTGATCGGAATCGAACCAAAGACCCATCCGTCCTCAGGCTGATACTCTATCCATTGAGCCAAACCAGCTAGGGCAGTTTAATGATTCTCATCTCGGAGATAATGGTGGGGGAAGGGTATGCCCAGGGCCCAAGGTACTATCTAGTACCAGAGGGATGGCCAAGGACTACAGGCATGGCCAAGAACTGGTGCTGGTGAAATCAGACAAGGGACTTAATGACTCTCTCTTGTTTCTCTTCCCCCAATCCCCTCGCAGTCTCTGGCATTTCTATCCCCTCTGAGGTCCCACCTAAGTCTCCTGCCGCTACCCAAGAACCTCAGGACACGAGCAAGAGCCAGTTACTGCCTCTCAGCTCAGCTCTGTGTGGAGAACATTGCAGGAAGGAGTCTTGCAGGGAAGGAAAGAGACTGAATCTGGAAGTCTCCGCACTCAGCCCTCCATCTAACCAGCAGAGCCCCTCTGAGAGCCGAAGAGCACTTCCTGCATTGGTGGTGGCCTCTGAGGACAAGGACCTGGGCATGACCGTTCTGATACCAGCCACACACCTCCCTGACCAAAACACTGATCCTGGGGCCGCTGGAGCGGTGTAGGCACAGTCTTGGCGGAACTGACTTAAGCAGATGCGCTCCCTGCCTACGGCTAGGGATCTGAGGAGGAACTGGCTAAGCTTACAGGACAAGGGGTTCACTGATGCTTATCAATAAAGAACACAGCCTGGCACCCTAACCTCCCGTCCCTTAATGTGGCTCTACTTGTGTTGGCATCGCCTAGCAAGCTGATAGGTGGGAGGCAGCTAGCACCAGGCTTTTTTTTTTTTTTTTTTTTTACAAGGTGCATGTACCTCCTTCCACTGCCTAACAGACCTGAGCGAAAGACAACTACAAGACCAACGGACAAGTCCTCACAAGCGCTTAGCGGCCTCCGGTGCCCCCTAGTGGTGCACAGGGGAAGTACTCTTTAGTCACCTGCATTGACCAGCCACCTAGTCTGTGCAGTATTTTCCACCTCCGGAAAACGGCTCCTTTGTCAGAGGAACAGCCATGGGGCCGACCCATGGCTCATAAGGTTCAGACAGACTTAACCATGGGGGGTTCCAAGCAGGGTTGGGGGAGGGTTTCAACCACAGGAGCTCCTCAGAGATGGCCATCGTGGGAGGGGCTTTGGCAGGGAACTGGACAGTGTTGGGGATAGAAGAGAACTGGCTGGAGCCAGAAACAACGTTTAAGGGGCCCTGGGACAGTATCGGGTGGGGAATGTAATCAGTCCTCCTCACATGGTGTCACCTTCATTTGCTGGGCCTGCCCTCCATCCTGGGGCAGATAGAGATAGCACTAGGGACTCCTTGGAAACAGGCCTAGAGAATGACCACATGGTCTTTTTTAGCCCCATTTTATTGAGCACTGATCATGGAGGAGAGGGTTTGCAGCAAAAGAAGCAGAGGAGTGGCAAGACTGGAGAAAAATAAGGAGGGGTAGGGTCTCGGAGGCCTGGGCAGAGGTGCTTTGAGGTCTCACACGGTAAAAGCAGCCTGGGAGCAGCATGCTGACTGCAAACAGAGGTCGCTGGAGATAAGCAGTTTCCGTGAAGTAATGAGGATAGGAGTGTGTCTGGGGCAGGCTCAGAGGGGATGTCGGAAATGCAAACAGGCAGTATGCCAACTCTTCCATGACTTTTTGACTATAAAGAGAGCAGGGAACTAGAGTAGTAACTAGAAGGGGATGTGGGACCAAGAGAGGGTTTTTATTGATTGCTTTGTCTTTTGTTTTAGACAGAGTGATATTACAGCATAGTTACATGGTAAATAGAGGGATCCGCTTGGGAGGGACACGGACGGGGCAGTTCAGGAGTGAGGTTTTTGTGAAGGTGAGAAGGGCCAGGAAGAGGATGATGGCCTTAGACAGGAACACACTGCGGCAGGACAGGAGGCAGAGGATGTGAGACTCCGCACAGGAGGCGGGTACGGCTGGGAGTGGGAACATTAGAGGATCAGATGTTTGCGGAGAGCCTGGCACGCTGGAGGGGTCTGATGTTTGCTAAGTGCCATCATGTCATCTATTGTGCCGAATGCTGCATAGACTCAATCTAGTTAACTCGTTAGAACGTCATTAGGGAAAGTATTATTCCTGGTTTCAGGTAAGGACACTGAGGCTGACAGGAAAGTGACTTGCTCAATCAGTAAAGCCCAGGGTCCAATTCACACCAGTTCTGTCTTCCACTCATTTACTCTGCACCTACGCTCTGCCTGCGCTGAGCTCCAGGTACTCAGGATGGAGTGAAGAGATCAGCCCTACCCATGCAGAAAGCTGAAAATCAACCTGATCTACACGTGCTGCCATGGGACAAGTAGGAGTGGAATAGACACAAATTCTCGGGAAGGCAGGCCACCACCTGCTAAAGTGACCCTCCCTGCACGGCTCCCGCACAAGGCCTGCCACTTCTGCTCACTGGGATTACCCTGCCTTACTCATCCACACTGGCCCTTCTGTTCAGACCGCTTCTCAGACCTTTTCACTGCGGAGTGAACACAGGCTCCCCACTAGGGCCAGGGAGCGGCCCAGGACCCCTTCCCTCTGAATATTCTTAATAGTTGTGTGTTTGAACTTAAAAACCTTTGGTCAGCCAAAACCGGCTTGGCTCAGTGGTAGAGCATCGGTCTGCGGACTGAAAGGTCCCGGGTTCGATTCTGGTCAGGGGCATGTACATTGGTTGCGGGCACATCCTGATAGGGGGTGTGCAAGAGGCAGCTGGTCGATGTTTCTCTCTCATCGACGTTTCTAGCTCTCTATCTCTCTCCCTTCCTCTCTGTAAAAATCAATAAAATATATTTTTAAAAAACACCTTTGGTCAATGTCGCATTCTTCTCCGTGATACGTCTGGACATAAAAATGAATAAACTCACATATTAATTAAAACGAGCCCTCCAGATAGATGCATCACGTGTGGCCTATGGCTGGCTTCACATATCCTGCCATGCCACCACCTCTACCCAGGCCAGGCTGGGCAGCACGGCAGGCAACAAACAGGCGTTTACCGGAAGGAAATGGGAGATAAGGGCCTTGCAGGGTGAGTGAGAGTCAGCCAGCAGACGGAGAGTCTGGACTGAGCAAAGGCAGCTAACTATGAGAGGTGGACGTGTGCACCGGGGAGAGGTGTGCAGACCACAGCACGTGCTCTGTACCGATCAGCACAGTAAACAGCTGGCACTTCCGTGCTTATTATGCATCCAGCTTTGTTCTAAATGCCTTTAATCCTCACTATAACCTTAGAAATGACTGTAACATTTTTATAAAGTAATTTTAAAGAAAAAATGCAGGCACACAGAGAGGTTAAATCTTACTCAGAGTCATTCAACATGTCAGTGTTGAGAATAAGATATGATCCCAGAGTCCAGCTTCAGAGACCACTATTACCATGTGGAATAATGCCAGTGAGATGGGTTGGGGCCAAACACAGGGGCTTGGGCTTGAGGAGTTTGGACTTTTCTATGGTGATGAGAGCTCGTGAAGGTTTTTGAGCAGGAGAGAGAGAAGATACAATCATGCTGGAGAATCTGTCTGGCCAGACATGGAAGAAAGACTCAAAGAGAAGGAAGAAGAAACTACAGCCAGGAAGACCAAGTGAGAAGCCCTTAGGTATTCAAGGCATGGGCACTGAGATCCTAGATTAGTGGACAAAATGGAAAGAACAAAGTGCTAGAGAGATGCTGGCAAAATTGTGTTTGGGAAAGGAAGAATGGGGAGGAGGCATCAAACATGACTCAGGTTTGAGCTTGAGTGGGTGAGAGAATACTGATGCCATGGGCAGGGAAATGGAAACTGGGAGGCTCAATGTTATGCATGTTTAGTTTGAAGTGATGACAGGACACCCAAATGGAAATATCTAGTTAGTGGGCAATGAAAACCTAGAGGTCAAGTCTAGCAGTGCCGTCTGGAGAGAATGTGGTTCTAGAGCACCAATGAAGTGTTTCCATTCTGGCTAGGACAGAACTCGAATTCTCCCAGCACTGTGTAATCTCTAGCATAGCCATTCCATTTCCAAACCCATGGCAGCAACTTCCTGCCAGGTCTCACAGAGTCTCACCCTATACATATCCAGCCCCGTCTTTAGCTAAGGACCCATAGGGCTTATGGGTATTCTGCCCTCTACTCAGCTGTCACCTCTCTGACCCCTGTCCTGAAATTTCTAGCTGCTTTAGTAACCCTCAACTCTGCGCTCTGTCCGATCAGCTCAGCAGAACCGTTGTGCTTTTCACCTCTGTGCTGTGGTCAGCAAACTGTCCTCAGGCAAAGGCTCAGGGGCCAGGATTAATGTGGGGCTCACTTCGAGTGTTTGTTTTCCTTCTCTCAGGACTCACATCCTGTTTAACGTTCAGAGCCTAATAATAGTTGCCCTATTTACATTTGCAAGTTTTATAGTTGTTTATAATGGGAAGGCTCTGACGTGGTCAAAAGCAGAGTCATAAGTTTAAAAATAAAATTTATTCTCTGTCCATTGACAAAGCTTAAAAGCAATAAAACCTTAGTAGCAACAAGTATACCTAGAACCTAGATCTCAGTTTCTAAATATCTTTCCCCCGATAAAGAAACTAGAGATTTTTGGACAAATAGCTGATTCCATATTCAGGATGGGAAAATCCTATGTGCATCTGGAACATCATGTTGTGCAACAAAGTGCTCAAAACGATAAGAGAGAAGGACTTGGGGCAAGCTTGAAGGAGCTCTCATTGGCCAAATATAAGAAAATTTGAGCATCTAAAACAATAATTATGGTAATAGCTTAGAATACACTGAATTAAAAAGAGTACTTTAATGTATAGTGACACTAAAAAGAGATCAAGAGAATATTCTTCTTTACTAAAGAATAATACTGTATTATATTAAAAGCATAATAAATGTAAAAAGAATGTTATAATTTTTGAAACACAATGAGATAAATAATTTAGGCAAAGATCATAACTTGAGGCTGAAACCAACAGTTGACAGATTGTTGAAGACAGGATATTCACAGGATCTCAATCTATCATCCAACAGAGTACTTATGACTACAAAGGGAACAGGGTTCTTTGAAATGGAGAGATCTAGCATATACCATCTTAACCAAGAATGCAAATCCGGCATCAACAATAATGGGATAAAGCAATAGTAGATGACTAAAGTAATACAACAGAAAGAACATGTCACCTGTATTTTTATAAAAGGTTTAACCTAAATCTAATTGTGAGGGAATATTTAAATAAGTTAAAACAATCAAATATAAGGGGAGATAGATTTCACAATACAA